GGCAACAGTATTCCATGTTCCTCACAGAGCAGTTGATGACAGAACACAGGACTTACTTATCTTTGTATTCCCGGTACTTGACACCATGCATGGTACATAGTTGGTACTCGATCAGTACCTAACTGGCATTTGGTTCAATCAATGATCATTATATTTAAAGCAGTCCAATAGTGACACAGGCTGTCTGACAACAAGTGAGCTCCCATTCCTCAACACACATCTACTAGAAGCCCAACCAAGCAGTGGAAGGAGCCTGAGGCTAGATGGCCACCAGCCTAGAAGCTGAAAACAGACTAAGTCTCTCTCAGCACCTCAAAGATCACTTTCAACACCCAAACAAACAGCAGGGCCCTATGTTACATTTTATGCAAGTGAACCTGATCAAGCCTATTGAAACCCCACATTTTTCATCCTTGTATTAAGACCCTCAAATGATTATCAGGACACCTTAGAGGTGACAATGTCCCCAGCAAGAGGGAAGAATTCCCAGTGCAGAAGCACAAACTGTAATTAGCATAATTAACAGCTTAGGCTCCCTTCCGGCCAGCATCTTCTTCAGGGTCCTGGTGTCCCCAGTGTTTAGAGTACTCTCAAGTATGCTGCACTGCCTTAATCTACTCGCACATCCTGAAAGGAAAACAGATAGCATGTCAAAACACTCCCACATGCACAGCGCAGACATGTATTTGCATGTCTCATAGGCAGTATTTTTCCAATGTTAGTCACAATGCATTAGTGGGCCACCAAATTATCTTAGTGACCAACATAGATTTTTCATAAATAGGATGGAATAGACATTTTCAGAGTGCTTCATATAAAGAGGTGTACACTGTCTCATGAAGTTTGTTTTATAAATATGTAGATGTTGTTATACAGTATTGAACATGGAAAATGAATTTGTGACTGTGGGTTGAAGTCTAAAAAGTTTGAAAGGCTCAGCTATAAAAGATCAGGAAGGCAATAATGATAGTTAAGAGTAAGGGTTTTAGCATCAGCCTAATTTGATTCCCAGTCCTGCCATGTATGTGCTCAATAATCTTGGGCATGTTGCTTACCCCTCTGCGCCTGCTCCCTCGTCTGTGAAATGGGTAGGCTACACAATACAGTGCCTGGTATCCAATCAACGCTCAGTAAATGACAACTTCAAAGTGTCCTGTGAAGGACATCCAACTCTAAGGGGTCTCAGAGCAGACCTGGTTGCTGCAGGTCTCATGACACGCAGATTTGTAAAGAGGATTCGCAGGATGCACTGAGAAAGGATCCTCCCTTACCCCCACAAGCAGAGCGTTTGGCTCTTGAATACCTGTGCTAGGGTCTTACAATTACAGAAACAGCAGAAACCAAAACAGTTTAGTGTTGAGCTAAAAAACGGGATTTCTTTCTCAAAATAGGGCTCAGCCCTGAGGAAACCCAGTTTTCTGAAGTTGCTGGCCAGCAACAGCACGGGAACATCATCCCAGCATCAGGGTCCAACACACAAGTCCGAGCACTGCTGCCACAGTTCAAGCAGGGGATGCTGGGGGAAGGGACAAAGAGTTCTTTGCTATCCCTACAGACCCATGAGACTTCAAGGAGCTCGACTCTCACCAATCCATCCTGTCTTCTTCACAGGGCAGCAAGTCATTAGCATCTACTTCAGTGAAGTTGCCACAGGAACTCTAAGGCCGCCTGCCGTCCCTGTCCATCTCCATGAGAAAGGAAAGGTTAGGAAAGAGATTGGGCCTGGAAAAGTGAGACAGTATCCCAGAACAGGGGAAAACAGACATATGCAAGAGCCAGGGAGAAAACCCCCCAATGCAGGCAAGAAAAGGAGGAAACCAGTGACAGGAAGAGAGACAAAGAAAAGGAAACTTGTGGGGGGCGGGAGAGGGGGGAAGGCGGTGATAAAAAGGACAAAGGACAAAAAGGAAGGTTTAAAAAGAAAACCAAAAAATTAGTATGAAACAAAAAGGAGGAGGACTAAAGAGAAAAGAAGTAATGGAAAAAGCTATTAGGACAAGAGACCATCCCTCATTCCACACTGCTTTGTGTACTGTTCCTTCAGAAGGAGCAGTGCCCAGGCAGGGCAGGGAGAAAGGAAATAGGGGTCCTCTGAATTGCAGCGTGCTTCCCCTCCTCATGAGTCTGGTCCTCAGCCTGACTTCCATCAAGGAAACTCAGGACACAGCCTCAGGAGGCCTTTGGAGAAAGAGGCTCCAAGAAACACGGATTCCAGCTGGGCTGGAGACAAGGCACACCCCGTGCTGCCCTCCACTGTCAGGTGCCACCTCAGGTGTTCCCAGCCCTGATCCCCTCCCCCAAGATAAGGCTTCAGCTGCTAAGCAACTGCTCTCCATCAGACTCTGGTGTCTTGTCACTCTCAGAGAGCCATTTCCCCCACTGCCATATGTTCCACCCTACATCGGACACATTTGAGGGCATTCAGATATTTTTCTGGTTCTATGGGGCTCAACTCCACTTTTGCATTTCAGAGAATTCTGGGAACAAGAGCAGAGGCCTAGAACATCGCCTGGCGTGGCCTCATGGGAATGTCTTGCAAAGGGAATCCCACTGTGCCTCTGTCTTCTAGTGTTGCCCCCTTCCCTTGGGGGCTAGGAGAGGGTTTGGCCTGGCACTCTCTCCCTCTCTAGTCTACTTTTGTCTTCTCAAGCTTCCAAATTACACAGCGTGGCACAGCAAGTGCTTGGAGAAAATGACCTAACACAGTCCCTAGTCAATTGTGAGGGGCTCAGGCCTGGACCAAGGGGGCAGCCTGACCTCAAATCCCTCCCACCTCTCACCCCAAAGTGTGACGGCTTGAACACATCCACGTCCTTTCAGCTAAAATGAGCAAGAGCTAAGCTTATTATCATTTCTCATCACAAGCTCCTGCAGCAAACCTGCAGGGATTGCTCTTGAGGGAGAAAGAGGAGAGAAGAGGGAACTTCACAGTGAAGAACCCCACAGCCTCAGAAAATCTCCAGACTGTGAGACCCCATGGGCATCCCCAGCTACTTGGGGAGGAGCAAAAGGTCTTAATAGGCAGGCATTCTGTGTTGAAACCCCAGTGTCTGGGGCCCAGGTACAGTGGACAAAAGGGAAGGAAAGCCTCCGCTTGGTCAGGCAGGGCCAAAAGGAGATGAGGTGCAAAGCTAAGGCCTCTGCTGGGCCTCAGGCCTGCAACCTGGGCCCAGAGCGACTCCTTGCTATGCCATACCTACTGGCTGCCAAGGTCACTCCCCCAAACCTAAGATTTTTCCCTTAAAATAGAGACTGGGGATGTGGGAGTCAGTCTGGCTAGTCAGCCTGGCTCAGGTGGTCCTGAAGTGCAGCCTAAGTTACTCAGGGCTCCCGGAGCTGCTTTTGAGGCAGAAATACAGAGCATCTTTGAGCACTCCTGCTCTGTCAGTGAGAAGGAGGGCAAAATGCTCAAAATAGAATAAAAGCAAGGGTCAGGACCCAAAGGGGTCTCACTCCCTGTTTCTCTGGACTCTCTGTGGGGTGCCTGTGTGCAGGATTTCTGCAGAAGATAGTCCATTTTGTTAAGCCTTTGAATATTCAAATTGAAAGTACCGCGCAATCATTGATTGTCAAATCATGGGTTTCTAGAGGTTTTAAATACTTGGCATGAGGGGGAAAAAACTCAAACCTATACCCGAAGGTATAAAACATTAATTCTGTTTGTCTCCTGCTCCAGGAACCTGGGTGCAGCTGGATGCTTTGTGAAACTTTAAAAATGTTGCATCTCTGTTTCTCTCCTTGCACAGGAGCCCTCCTAGGCGCTGAGTCCCTGCAGCTGCAGCTTCTAGCCACGGACCCAGCTTCTGCTGACCACCATGTCGGGTAACTCGGCTGCTTCTCCTGGGGTAGGGTCACGCGGGCCAGGGGCGTTTTGATCTGGGTGCATTTCCACAGCTTTTCCTGCACAGAACAGAGAGGCACAAAGTCAGAGCATGCAAGGGTGTGCCGGGAATCTTGAGAGAGGGCACGGGCCACGCTGTGGCCGCTCCCACTCGGCACCTGGTCCCGAGAGCAGAGGTCCAGTGGCCGAGTTGGCCGCTGCGGACGCCCGCCGTACCCCGGCCCACCACCCGCCCTCGCACTTTGCCACAGTTGTGACCTTAGGACTTCGCGGCGCAGATTCTGCGCACCCAGAAGCGGCGGCGGGGGGGAGCTAGAGGCTCACGGTGAGCCCGGGACGCTAGCAGGGCGCGCGGGGCGCACAGAGCTAAGCTGTGGCGATCCCCCGTGACGCCCCCGAGCCGCGCCCGCAGCCCGCGGAGCCGCGAACCGGGCGAGGGAAGCGTGGGGAAGAGAACGGACCGCGGAGAAGGCGCGGCGCCCAGGCCCTGCGGGCTAAGCACGAGATTCCCTGCGTCTGAGCGACTAGCAGCGCAACCTCCTTTCCTGGGGAGACCCCTAGCTCCTGGGACTGGCCTGGGGGCTCCCTGCTGTCCAGCTGTGGTCTCCGCAGTGACCAGGCGAGGCGCTGGCGGCCTGGCACTGTCGCCAGGCACACAGGCTAGTCGCGCGGGCGCCCCAAGGCGCGGGGCCCGGCCCCTCCCCGCGCGCTGCTCCGGGCGCTCACTCTAAGGTCGAGGTCAGGGTCGGAGGCGCACTGGGCTCCTGCGGCCGCGGCCGGGCGGGGCCCGGCGGGACCTAACAGCCCGACCTACTCACTGCGGCTCAGCGGGGCCCAAGGGGCTGCGTCTGCCGCGCTCCCGGCACGCTGAGGCTCCCTCCCCGCCGACCCTCCGGCGAGCGCTCGGCTTGCCCCGCCAGCCGGAGCTGTCCGGCTCGGCCCTGCCGGCCCCGAGGGCGGCCCTTCCGGAGCGCAGCCTCCCAGCCAAGGGCGCGATCCTCGGGAGACCCACACGGCTTTCCCGGAACTCGCGCAGCACCGACCTGATTAGGAGCCTCAGCGCGCCGCTGAGAAATGCCTGCACCAGAAAGGGAGGGGGTGGGGAGAGACGGGAGGAAGGGGAGAACCGGAGCGGGGCCTAAGGAGGGAGGAGGAAAAGATGGAGAGCAGGAAAGGCGGAGGAAGGGGGCAAGGGAAGGAAGGCAGAAGAAAAACATCGACGGGAAGAAGAAGGGAGATCCCCGGGGCTGGGCCTTTTACTGGGGTCAGTCTAGCAGGTCCCTCACCGGCCCAAGCATAAGGCTCGCCCAACCGCACAGCTTGCCCCAGGGCTGGCTTCCAGACCAAGGGCAGGTAAAGGTCGGAGCCTCCCCAGAAGCCACACCTGGTCTGGTGGAGAAGGAAGGGACTCCAAGCTTGCATGCGAATGGGAGCATCACGGTTGGGTGGGCTAGGTCAGCTGCTAGACCAGAGAATGCCCCTGCTCCAGTGCCCCCTCCACCCGCCCACCNCCGCCCGCCCCCGCCCCTCTCCAGGTCCATAATACCTCTCCCAGGCCAGCGAGCTGGGCCCAAGTACCCCCAACTTAGTTAGCCAAGGTGGTGAGCTCCCCTGGACTGGTCTCCACATTCCTGAGCAGAAAGACCTGTGTGCTATTGGTCTAGGCTTAGGACCCAGCCTGGCGTGGGTGGTCCCACAGATTTCCACGTGCGGATTCCCACTGAGTAGCTGCAACCTGCCCAGCCTCTCCTAGCCCCTTCAAGTTTGAGAACTTTGAACTTCTTGCCTACTTGTCTTTTAGCATCTTTTTTCTGTGTTCTTCAAACCTAGAAATCTGGCCTTAGACGCCATGGTCTATAAAGAGGACCCCCACACCCCAGCCTGACACCCAAACTTCACACTTGACCACTGACTTGGTTGCCTTTCCCCAGAAAAACCAAAGGTGTATCAAGGTGTCCGGGTGAAGATCACAGTGAAGGAGCTGCTGCAGCAGAGAAGGGCTCACCAAGCAGCCTCAGGGGGAACCGTAAGCAATAAATCCTTCACTTACTCCCCACTCCTATTTGGCCTCATTCAACCCTGCATCTGGGAAGGGATAGAGGCTGCCCTGGGCCCCAGTCACTTCCCCAGACCTGGCCTTCCTCAGGTGTTCTTATAGCTCCAGTGCCCATCTTCACCCCAGTTCACTACAGGAAGCCACAGAGAACAGCTGCAGCATGTTGTGGGGTTCAGAATTTGGGGGCTCCCATCCCTCACTGATCCTAGTTGAGTATGAAGGGCTTGTTGGTCCTGTGCAGGGAGAGGAGCAGCCAGCAGGTAAGTAGGTTGCTCTTCTGTTAGGAAGACAGTGTATGTGCCCTCACATATGCAAAGAAAATCTCTCCCAGAAACTCTCTTCATTTTTGGAAGCCCTTCAAAAGCAGAATCTCTGTGAAACAGCTCCCCTTTCTTTCTCATTCTTCTGGAACCCAGCCTCTGAGGTCATTTATCTGTAAATCACCAGTTACTGGAAGTTCCTAACAGAAAGGGGCCATATCTGCAGAGGAGACCGCTTGGAATATAGAACCACCTCCTTAAGCTGTAATGAAGCCTTAAATAGTCCCAGATTAACACGAGACTGATCTGGGCTGTCATAAGGGTTCCTTGCCACTTATATATGTTCTAAAGCGTAGTGCTGCCAAGAGCTCTCAGGGTAACAGCAGAACCAAACAAACTAGGTCAGGCTGTCCTCCAAGAGAGGGCAATTCATCGCTGAAAACCCTTGATCATACAATTGCTTGTGGGTTGGTTTGGGCGTGGATGTAGAATCTGACAGCTGGGGCCCACATTGCCAATGTTATCATTGGTCCTGTCTCCAGCTTAGGGTTTTGTGCCTGGTGCTGCTTGTGTGCAATGCACGACTTCGTGAAATGGGCCTTTGTGGGAAGAGGCAAATGATGTAGGGGTGGTGATCATAGGTTCTAGGGTAGACTGGGTTCAGAGCTCAGCACCTCCGTGGTGCGTATCCTCTGAGCAAGTTACTCTAGCTCTCTTGCCTCAGTTTTCTCATCTTTAAACTGGAGATAAGATTTTGTGAGGGTTAAATGAGTCATTGTATATAAAGCACTTAGAAGAGTGCTTTCCACATATTAAGTGCTCAGTTAATGTTAGTTATCATTATTATTTGTGAGAAACAACTACAATAAAATTACAACCAAAGCTTGAAAGCCAGCTATTCAGTAATGTTCATCCACACCCTTTGCTCAGAGTTTAGAGTTCAGGTGTGAGCTTGCTGTGAAGAGTGTACAAACAGCACAAATTTTACATTTGCTGGAGAAGTTAGTACCTCCATATGCAGAATTTCAGCTAACAAAAAAACTTCAACTTGTAGAGGATTTTACAGTGGTTCTTTTAAAGCATTTTTGCACATTCATTATTTCATTTAGTTCTTATAATAATCAGGGGAGGTAAGTAAGGTCAAGGATCTGTATGCCTCTATTACAGCTGAAGTTCAAAGCCTTGCAGTTACTGACGGTAGAGTTAAAAGTACAACCAAGGTCTTATTCTTAATACAAAAAACTCCCCACCTATTGGCTCCCTAAATTCACCTTTCTGCAGATCCAGCTGTGCTGAGCAGGAGTCTGGTAGCCTCAACCATCAACCCCTTCAATTCAGAGATAATTATAAAATTAATAAAACCAGGAACTGGGAAATGCTTCTGGAGAAAAAAAAATCATCAAGATGTTCATAACAGAATGTAATCTTTCATTATGGAGCTTTGGTACATGGTAGAATTCTGCTTCAGCTGTGGCTGGAGAAGTCTCACTGGGCATGGCGATTTTATTGCTGCTGGCCTCTTACAGGTTGGTTTGGTCACTGTTCCCCTGATAGCTAGCTGCAGGAAGGAAGGCAAGGGTTAAATATTTCACTTGTGTATCTGACCAGTATCTGTTCCCTAGGGAGATTTGACTTATCTCAGTTTTTCTGAATTCGCCCCCAAGAAATATAATAAAGCAGTACTACCAAACCAGTGCCTTGCAGAGCAAAGCTTGCTCTCTCCTTTGCTTCCTTGAATATTATATCCACCCTTGCCCTCACCGGCAGGAGGAGGAACGCAGAGAGATGATTTAATTACAGGAGCCAGATGTAAAATCCCTCCTGGGAACCATCAGAAGGACCTGGAATTCCAGGAAAGTTGTGAAGGTATGCTCAGTAGGCAAGGATGGCAGACACCAGGGGATAATGTATGCCTGCTTCTTGGTGTAGACTCTTCCGGTTTAACAGAGATGATCGCCAACTTGCTCAATGGTTGAAGCACACCTCTAAGAAGCTTTAAGCCAAGGAGACAGTTAATTTTATCAAACAGACAAAGCAGGAAGAAATTTATCTTCATTTATAAGTTAAAGTAGTAGCCACAATTCGAAATTTTAAGAAGGCAATGGTGAGTGGAGGTTATAGATGGAGACAAATATCAGGGTCTCATGCAGTGCCAGGAGAAATGTGTGCATGTAGGATTTGTAAATTTGATAAAAAAAAAAAAAAAAACTTAGGCCAGGCCAGACCAATTTGCAAACAACCCTAAACACACACACACACAACACACACACACACACACACACACACACACACACACACACACACATTCACACACAAACAATTCTTTTACCTTTAGGATAAAGGGAAACTTGAGTTAGTACTTATCAAAAGATATAATTTACCCTTTTTATAGCCATTAAGTTTTTTAACAGCTTTGATGTGTTTTTTAAATTGTAGATTGTGGCTTTTTGTGCTGTTTGAAATCTAAGAGAGAGGTGCCTTTCTTTGTATTCTTGGAGCAAAGTAGAAAGTGAACCCATGACTAGAAAGATAATATCAAGTAGGATATTGTAAACATACCTGAGGGAGATAAGGTGGGGAGGCAGACAAACAGACCATTCCGGGGGAGGAATGGGGTTAATGAGAGCTCTTCAATGAAGCAGAGTTTTTAAAACCCACTCCTTCCAAGTCCTTTAGCTCAAGCTGCAGCCAAATATTTGCATGAAGAGCTGGTGAAGGATTCCAGCTTCCTGGTTCATGACATTACAGCATGGATCATTTTCAAAATTAACACCACCTCCTGTTTCAGCAGTGGCTGTGCAATCTCCCAGTGGCTCCATGTTGGGGAGTAAGTATACCCTGTTACCCAAGAGAGAGGTGTGCTGAGCTCAGCTTCCCAGCACAGAATCAAAGAGTGATGCTGGTCCCTTTAAACTTTAAAGCCATCACCTGAAACCTAAAGAAAATGATAATAATGAAAAAATCCTAGATTACTTCGTTAGTAATTTAACTCAGTTTAACTGGAAGATACAAGCTGCTTTACTTTAAATAGTTAAAAGGAACAATCTCATAAACTTCAAGCGTTTCAACATAGTAGTGAAAAAAGCAACTTTTATAAAAATTAGTAACAAACATACAAAGAGTTGAAATATTTCCTGATCATTAACTAGAATGATAGATAGGTTCCAACTCGATGACTACAGCTTTAAGTAAATATTTTCTATGTTAGTATTCCATACCTAGTAAGAACATATTTTGCATATTTTGATCTATCCAGGATTAACAAAGTTAGGAATTGTGTCCTTTGGGGAAAACAAATTCTTAAGGCTAAGCAGCCAGATAATATATGAAAATTTTGAAGAAAATGGTTAACTTGGTCACAGAAGTTAAGATTGAATAAATGTAAGTCCTTATTAATTTTAAATTAAATAGTTTAATAGGCTCTTTACTGGGTTTTTTTTAACTGTTACATTTCTCTAATATAAAAATCATTTAAATTAAATTTTTCTCAAAATCAATAGCTTTTAAAATTGAAGTGAGAGAAGCTGATATTGGGGGGGAAATCCCCAAGGAAACCTAAAAATTAAATCTAAATAAAATATAACATTGGTTGTATTTAATGACAGCAACTTTTTTTAGAAGAAAGAATCTGGCTTACCTTACAGCAGAAGGCAACATAGTTCACTTCAAAGTGTCTTAACTTTCCCTGTACAGATCTTTGATTTCCCTTTGTTTTATGGTCGTATTCTTGCGTTGGCAGCTGTCCGGAGGGAACAGTATCCACCTTCCAGATCCAGTCACAGCATCTTCTGCAGGTCAGTACAGTCAGCATTACAATTCCCTCAAAAACTCTTTCAAAAGTCCATCTCGAAAGTCTTTCAATGCTTGATTCAGGGGTTTAAGATAGGCACCACCATTTAATTGCAATCCAACCAATCAGAAGATGAAATAGGCATAGTGATTCCTGATGGAAGCCCCGCAAGGAAACAAAGTGAAAATGTTTTCTTCTTTCTAAACTGTCTGCTCTCTGCTGTCTCATCTTTCCTGAGTTTGTTCTCATTTATTCCAGTTCCTCATCTCCAAGTAACTAAACTTGACTCCAAGATCAGAATTGTTTTTAGAAACTTGTTATCTTTTTTTAGTGTACCATTAGATGGAATAGAGGTCCTATAATCATACCTTTGCTCTTGTTCAGTCAGTTTCTAGCCGACAGGGGCTTCCCTCCCCTTCTTTTCTCTCTTCCCAGAAAGCAGTTCAAACAAGTGTAAGTTTTCTCAGCCCAATATGAATAACTCTATTACATAAACACTCCTACCTATGCCACTCAACTGAGCTAAGAGTTTAAAGAGGTGATATATAAGGAAACGTGCTTTTATGGTAGCTCACCACTGAATATTCCACTTTCACTTAACCTCAAAGGAACCTTGAGACTTCCAAAAATCCAGTGTTCTGTCATCCCTCTGATAGACACTCTAAACTTATCTCCTTTGAGCATTTAAGGATAATAACCATAAATTGGGCCTATTAATACTAAAAAGGAAAAGGAATCATATTTTCAGCATTATTCTTGTTTGGTATTTAACAATTTACTTTAATGCCGTTATCATGTTAACGTGTTCACTAAGAAAGCATTTTTACTTTTTGTAATTTAGAACAAATAGTACTAATTTGTCCTCTACGTTCCTGGTTTCTATTTTTATAATTTACATTGCCATTTATATCACTCCTCAAAATTTAAGTTGCTGAGTAAGTGTGAAAAGTTTAAGAAAGTAATAACCCTAAATTAAGAGAATTATTTTTCATGACATCAGAAGTTTTCCAAAAGCCACAAACAATTTTGTAAGCTACTTCTGAGAGGTTTACTTAAACTGCCAATAGGGGCTGGATGTGGATGCTTTTTATGGTTCAAGAAAGTAGAGGCTTGAGCCATTATTTGACTGACAGTTGGACACAGGTGGGATTACTATTCTTTTCTTTTAGCCCTAGCCACATTCACAGCTGGTTTCCACATTATTAACCAGATTCATGTCACTGGACTTGAATTAGCTAAGGGCAATTAAAAAATCCAAATTGCCTGCCTGTTTACTTTCTAGAACTTTTTAAGTCCCCTTTTCCCTTAGACCTAGTAAATACTCAGATTATAAAATAGAAACTCATTTAAAGCCATTAAGTGCAATTTTTAAACAACAAAAAATCTTTTCCTTTCTCTTCTAGGACTGTATTTTGAGCCTGAGTCGATTTCTTCCACACCCAATTATTTTCAACCCCGAGAGTTTTCCAGTTGTGCTTCTTGTGAAGAAAACCCAAGCTGCCTTGACCAGATCTTGGATTCCTACCTTCAGACAGAGACACACCTGGACCCTTTGCTCAATTCCACGCAAAGTACTTCACACTATTTCCCAGACAGCTTCCAGACTACCCCTCTCTGCTTTAACCAGAGCCTGGTAATTTATCTCTGTTCTTAACAAAACCTATTTATTGCTTAGTATGGGGTAATAATGCTTTGTAAGAGAGTCTGCATCATCTCATGAGAAATCATACAAACACTATCAACAATGAAATCATCCAGGAAGCAAGCAGAGAACCATTTACAACTCAGTGGAGGTAGAAAGAGCCACACGTTTCCCAAGTCCTGTGCCAAGTTGGTATGGGGCAGTAGAAAGGTTTCTTGGCAATATACATTTAATGTTCTTAAACTGTAAAGTTAAGACATCTGCTAATTGGAAATCACTGATTTAAACAATGGCCCTTGGATTTGGGGGTTCTTGAAATTGGAATTAAGGCTGTATCTACACGGTACCAAACTATCATTCTGATAAGTGGGTTTTTTTGTTTGTTTGTTTTGGGGTTTTTTTTTTGTTTTGTTTGTTTGGTTTGGTTTGGGGGTTTTTTGACACTGAATTGGCTCTACTAACTGGTTGTTTTGGTCTGGTTCAGACACAAGAACTCATTTGAGTCTGAGATGGTCAGTAAAAATGAAGCCCTAATACTTGAAAGAATTTGGATGGTCTGTTCTTGATGGACCGCAAATGTTTGAAAATGAGTTACTTAAAATGGAGTAATGTTTGTATTTGTAGATACCATTTGTTTTAGATACTCATATCATTTTTTTAAACCTTAAAATAAGTTTTTATATTGTAACTATTTTTTTTCTTTTGTTTTGTCAAAAGTCTGTGTAAGTCTCAGACTAATTTTAAGGGAAGAGGAAATTAACTCCACAGAATATGGACACAGGGCCCCCAATAATCCAGTTCCCATCCAGCTTCCAAGTTAGGCTTTCTCAGTAATAATTTTAGACCTGCTTTAGAGAAAACAAAAAGTACCTTTCTCCTCAGGACAAGACTTTGGTGACTGTTAGAGTAGTTTTGCATCTTGGTGTCTCCCAAACACTGGATCATTGAAGATCCTAGTTCTACCTGAGTGTGTTCACCCTGTTCTCCACAATCAAAGGTGTGGAGAAACATCCAAGGTGCCACCTGCAGCTTATATCGTGGCACACAGCAGGATTTGATGTGCAGGTGACTTGAAGCACAATGGGATTTAGTGGCTTAAGGACAAAACATCCTCTAAAGTATGGTTATAACAAAGAAAGTCAGTGAAGCAAGGCAATTTATTGTTGGGAAAGAAATAGGTAAATATAGAATGTGGTGTCATGAAAGCATGTGATCAGAAAATAAAATTACTTCTGCAGACTTGGGTTGGGTTGGGTGTTTTGTTGTGTTCTTTTTCTTTACCCCTAATGTTCTTAACTCTGAGTTAATAAATCCACTCTATTCAGTTCTTTTAATCCTGTCTAAGTTATCACGCTCTTTGTTCCTTGGTTTTCATTTCTCTAGACCCCAGGATCGCCTTCAGATTCCTCCACTCTCTCTGGTTCCTTAGACTACAGTTACTTGCCGGCTCAGCTACCTTCATATGCTCCGGAGAATTACAGTTCTCCCCCTCCTCTGGACACCAGAAACTGTGGCTATCCCTCAGAAGACTTCTCCTACCCTCACTTGCCCTCTCACGCCCAGTACGACTACTTTTCCTCGGCTACTACCTCTGGCTGCTACTGTGCATCCTGTGAGGCCGAACACTTGGACACCATCAGAGCATCCGAGTATTTTTCCTATCCCAGCACAGACTATGTGAACTTTGCTCCCTCTGCAGCAGCAACCAGTGATTTCTACATGAGGGAAACAAACTGTGACATCTGCTATAGTTCATAGAAGTTCATTAGTGTGGAACATGGCATGCGTGTATGTTTCTACCACGCCAGATGACAATTCAAAAGAGGCAACCTGTTAACAAAATATCACAGGCACAGTTTACATGTCACGGTTTTCCATTTTCTGACGTTAAATTAAGCATTAAGGTGAAGTCCTCAGACCCAGTCATTGTGCCACTCCTACTTTGTATGCTTACAGTTAAAATTTTTGTATGGAACATTCAATTGTTTTACTTTACTGTGTAATGCACAAATTCTAATTTTTTTTTTACTAATAAATAATTTTGTATTATTAAATGTTGGCTTATTTTTAAAATTTTTGAATAATAGTTTCCAAATAGTTTGAATAATATCAATTACTTCTAGAAATCACTACTCTTTAGTAGTTTAATCTCACTTATTTGTAAATTTAAAATTATTTTAATGTGATGAGATACCTTGGCTCCCATGAGGATGGAGGGTACACACAGCTGTGATGGCAGAAAAGTGCAAGTCAGCCTTACCTTTAAATGAGGATGTATGTGTATCTTGGAGCGACATCACAGAAAGACATTTATGAATCATTAGTTTCTCATATCTAACATTAGTCAATGAAATATTAATATGACCAAAAAGTACATCTTACAATTCTTTTTTATTTCCAAAGCATTGTTTTGTAAACTTTCTGGGCAAATATTTAATCTTCTTTCTCCTGAGGGCTGCCTTGCAGTTGATGTATCCTAAAGTTTCAGAATTCACTGTTACCTTATATTTCTAAATTTCTGCTTTAGGCCCTTAAATATGCATCACTCTATTTACAGATTGACTTATCGGATTGGCCATGTAATTTACAACTGAATTTCAGCATTTACTTCTTCTGATTAATCTATTTGAACAAGCCCAACTTTTCAAGGTGAAGAGAGTTACTTAAGCTACAATGCTAGACCATATTGTTACATCCTGTTTGCTGAGGGTACTGAGCAAGGCACAGGACTTAATCCCCACAGTGAAGTCTGGGAGGCATTGTCCCATGTCCCAAGGTTCAGCACATGATAGCAATACTGGTACCACTGGCACTGGCCTGAGCTGCTATTTTCTGAGCCCCTTCTGTGCCAGAATTATCTAAAGGTTTTCTCACACATCATTTCATTTAATCTTCACAATAACGTTGGTAGCAAAATGAGGAGTCAAGTTCAGCCACCTGCCCAAGGTCACCCAGCCAATAAGCACCTGAACTTGGATCTAAAGGACATCAAAGATGAGCTTCTTACTCTCTAGTGGTGAATAGTTTGATCTGCTGTTTGTGAAGGACTGCTCAAGAACCCGTGGAATCACACCCCCCCCCCATTAAAACCCAACTTCCTTATACACACAAAGGTGTGTCCTCATCACAACTAGTCAGAGCTCCCCAGAGGGGCCAGGCTGTCCAGAGGATACAAAGATACCAAGCATAAGAGCTTTCAGAGACCCCCACTTTGGGGACCAAGGCGAAAAAGCTGACCAACTCTCATTTCAGTGGACTTCTTTCTATGAGGAGGCAGATATGCTTTCAGAATGACACTGCCTGATTGTCCCCTCCTTGGGGACTCCACTAAAGCTTGGGCAAACAGGACAAGTTGCAACCTGCCTCATGGGATAGATGTGCCAGGAAAACAGAACAATTACTGCCTTTCTGAAATGCCAACAAAACTTCTAATTTTCTAATAGTTTCAAACTAAATTGAAACTGGCCTGTGGTCAACAAATACCTGTTCACACAGACCAAAGCTCCTGCATACCTGCCACCCAACCCCAAGGGACAAAAGGCAGAGAACACAAAGATGTCCAGTGATTGACACCAAAATATCCCTTTCCTGGATGCCGTTTGTTTGTTTGTTTTTTAATTCCCCACTTGTATTTTCTGCTTTCTGAATCAGTTATCTTGTAGCTCTAACAGAGAACATTTTTACCTCTTTGTTTCTTGTTCTTACTTCACATATCCCTGAGTTTTTGCCTAAATCTTGTGTGGGAAAGATGCATGAAGGGATGGGAGTTAGCTATACTAATGCCACATCAAATTGGTCTTTTAAGATCTTTCTTAAATTTGGACCAACAGGTCACCCGGCACACAGTGAGGTGAATGCATGATGCTCACCCAGTCTCTTAATCACTACAGCTCATACAGAAGAGCTCAGGGCTTCTACAACAGCAGGTAAAATATCTGCCAGCAGCACTGGGACAACCTAGAATGCTTCTCATCAACATATACCTCGGGAGCTATAGGAAATACGGGTGCCTCTGCCTCAGTATGAAAAAGCATGAGTCAGTAAGTCTAGGGGAGCGTCCAAGCATCTACATTTTTTTAAATGTACCTAAGTTGATTCTGATAGATGGTCCTCTGTCTACATTTGAAAAACACTGACATATCCAACGTCTGGTCTGAATTGTTCACTTGTAGGACCTAGCAGCACAATAATAATAGCTTACATGGATTAAGCTCTTTCTATGGGCCGGTGCTGTGGGCCTATTTCAGTTAATGCTCAACCACCCACACAAAATACATACTACTATTGTCCTCATTTTAATTGATGATGAAACTAAAGTTTGGAGAGATAAAATAACTTGCCCAAGGTCACACAACGTACAAATCAGAGTAAGAGTTCTCCAACTCAGGCTGTCTGATGCCAGTGTGAGTGAACTTCCCGTAGCCTCGGTAAGCTTTCCATGCATTACACTTCTAGGAATTTGATCTTTTGCCTTAAAAGTCACATGTATATCGGTAACCAGTTCCTCATACCACAGAGGCACTTAATAGGGTTATCATGAAAGTTCAAACAAGTATACACTTTTTTTATTCGGAACCATTAGAGAGATTAATAAAACAAATAGTAATTAAGTGCTTAACATGTGCAAGGTTTGTGTGCCTTCAAAATGCAGTCAAAGGTTAAAAGAGGATGTGATTTCAACATTTAAAACTTGGAGAATTTCAGTTAGGATGAGCATGGACTGATTTTCAAATCCTTGGGAAATTTAAATTAGAGGTCAGCCCTTGAAGCCTGAGAGAGATAAGATGAAAGAAAGTTGAAGGCAGTGAGCATTTGGAAACTATTACCTCAAGCAATGGCCCAGAGTGGTGACATCTAAGCCTGCAGGTGGACATCAAGAAGCAAGGTAGAGATAAGCATAACTGGAATGATGGGGCTGGGGTGGGGGCAGGGAGGTGGGAAGGAGGTGAAGGTGGAGTGCTATCTTTTGATAAAAAATATGTTTTAAAAAATTATTATTCAGTCTAGAAAAATGAAGGCTAAAGAAGGAAATCAAAGCCAATGAAAATGTGAATAATGTAACTTAAAGTAAACATGGCTTATCATCATTTCTCAATCCTCAAACCCTATGTAACTCCCAGTACAATTCCTGGCAGAGCTGCCCAGGAGTGTAATTAACTCTCATACTGACTCTCTTCCTCTTACAGATAAAGGGATGACAATGTCCTGCCTAAAAAACAGATTTGGTCTGGGGGTATCACAAAGCTTTGGGGGCTGGATTTTAGTGTGGTGGGGGTGAGGAGGACATTCGGGGGTAGGTGACTCTGTGCTTTACCAGGCAGCGTAATTGGCCCCATTTGTTATGCTCCAATAGGCCTCTGGGCAAAATGTAGGGACTGGAAGATGGACAAATCTGAGAGAACACAGCTCTGCATGGTAACAAAGAGTCAAGCTCATTGACGGCAGGAATCCGTGTCTGTTTAAAAACAGTTTCTCTTCCTTAATATGGATAGAGAACATGTGGTTGGTCCTTGGGAAATATGAAGTGTGTGTGTGTGTGTGTGTGTGTGTGTGTGTGTGTGTGTGTGTGTGTTTCTTTCATTGCCACCTGAATAATCCAGAAGAAAGAGAAGACATCTGCCCTTTAGCCTGTCAGGATTGGACCTGGAGTGCCAAAGATCTGAATCCACCATCTCCCTCCCCCATTGTACAATTCTTGGTTGAATAAGCTAGATTTTGAGAAAAGCTCTGCCTTGGGTTACTCCAGTCCTAGGATTGCCCTGATGGGAGGAAGGGGTAATTACTAAGGAAAGATCCGTTTGGGGGTAGGCGACACTGTCTGTAAAGGGGGGTGGGTAGGGTAAGAATCATGGTTGTGCTAAGAAGTTGGCATTCTCTGAAAGGAGGTCTCATCAGGAGCCAGAGGATCAAGACCAGCGGTTCTCAACCTTCCTAATGCCGTGACCCCTTAATACAGTTCCTCATGTTGTGGTGACCCCCAACCATAAAATTATTTTCATTCCTACTCTATAACTGTAATTTTGCTACTGTCATGAATCGTAATGTAAATATCTTTTTGTTTTCCGATGGTCTCAGGCGACCCCTGTGAAAGGGGTCACGACCCACAGGTTGAGAACCGCTGATCTAGACTAAGAATTGGGGTACATCCTCAAGTGGACTCCCTGTGAGAGGTTTAATTGAGGGTGCTTTTATTTTGGGATGTGAGCACAGTCCCATTCAGTATTATGTTTGAATTTTTCCCTCCCACAGGAATTTGACCAACTCCTGTTGGTTAACCGCAACTGTGCAGGAAGTCTGGTTTCCCATGGAGCTCTGGGTAGAAGTACAGAGACTCAAGTGAAGGGACTTTAAAGGGAAACGTGTCCTGCCCAGTTCACCCCTCTCTGCTTAGACATGTGTGGAGCTGGTAGCATTTATTGCAGGAACTTGTGGTCCAGGGCAAACAGGAAGTGATCTGCTGCCAGTAAGTGGAGGCCATGTGGAAGCGAGAATCATGGGGAAGGGCATCAATTGAGAAGCCTGGGCTACAAGATGTAGCTAGCGGATAACAATGCTTGAAAGTGAAAGAGGCTGGAGCTCAGGTCACTCAAATAAGGGGTAACTTTAGGACAAATAAAAGAAAGTTTTTACACAGAGGGTAATAAACTTAAAAAAATATATTACCCTTACAAGTAGAACATTTAAATAGTTTCAAGAGGGGGTGAGATTAATTTGACTGATAATATTTTAGGGCTGGAAAGGGACCCAGAGATCATTTAGTTCAGTGGTTCTAAATCCTGGCTACACATTACAATCACCTGAGGAGGTTTTAAAAAACATTGACGTCCTAGCCCGGATCAATGAATCACAATCTTTGGAGTGGGATTTGGGGATTAGAATTTTTTTTAACTCTTTATTTTGAAATTACAGTAAATTGTATAAGTAATACATAGAGTCCTACGTACCCTTCATGCAGCTTCCCTCAGTGGTGACTGCCATCTTAAATAACTATAGTACAATATC